ATAACTAATAAAAATATTAAATAAATATTAAATACAATTTTATTTATTGTATAATCGTTATAACCATTTGTTGTTTAATATTATAATAATGTCTATATTTATTATTCTATTCTTTATACATTTCTTCTTATTATTATTATGTTTATTTTTTATTATTTTATATTTTTATCATAAATATTTTAAATAATTTATTCAATTATATTTATTTCTATTCTTTATCTTCTACTGTTGATATTCTCTTTTCTTGTTTCTATATTATCACTTTTATCTTCTATGAGTTGTTTATTTTCTTTATTACTTTCTTCAACTTCCTTTTCAAATTATATCCCTTTTCATTGTAACATGATTCGATTATGTGAATTCCATACACTCGGATCATGAACTCGAGGTAATAATTTATTTGGATAGTTGTTCATGATATTTCTCTGTGGTATATCATGAAGCTTTCTTAATGTTTCCTTAAGTAATAAATACAAAAAACAACTTCAAACTACTTTTAATTTCTTCATTCATTTGATCACCACATTAATCATTTGAATGTCCCTTTTATTTCATATTACTTTTCTATTTAGATTCTACTCTTGGAAATGGTCATCTCATCAGATGCTTTTCATTATTATCCTTTCACATTCCTTTGTTTATTTTCCTAATTACATGTTTTTGTTTTCTTTTTATATTTCTTTATTCATCTCCTCTATCTGTTTGACAGTGTCTCTTAAGTTTCTCTTGCTTATTTCTTTCTATTTTATATTCCCTGTTTTGTACTTCTTCTTACTTTCACTTCTTTTAATTACTAGCTTCTTCTTTCTTAATTAAGTCTTTCATCTCTTACTTTATACTTAATGTATTCATATATGTATTTTGATTTCTTGTTTGAAGTTCTGTTCTTTTTTTCTTTAAATATCTTCTTTCCTTTCTTATCAAATTTTATTTATAACAAAATTGTGTTTCTTGGGATTATTTCAGTCTTTTAATATTTTAAATTTGGTAAACAAAAATATGAAATGCCTACTACCAAAAATCTTTCAAAATTAGTTTGGTATATTCTAAAATTATCATAAACCATTGAACAAAATACTTATTCTTTTGTTTCTATTTCATCTTTCTTACTCTTTTATTAATTATTCTTATATTCTATTATTAATTTGTGTTTATCAAGAAGAATAAAAAAAGACCAAAATAAAATAATCAATTCAATCATTTTCAATTAAATTCTTTGATTGAACATAATAAAAATGTATAGTATTACTTTTATTTATTTTAGTACTTCATACTAACATAATAATATTCGAATATATTTATAATTATACTTTAATTATGTTTTGATTTCTTTTAATAAATACAAACTACCATTAAAAATTATCAATAATCATTATACAAGAATTGTCATTTCTTATAATTTCTTATTTGAATTAACTCAATGAATAAATAACAAAGCAATTAATTAAGTGTTAATAGATTTTTCATATATTCTTCCTAGTTTATCGGAGATTAATCCCTGAGTTATTTGTTTTTTAAAAAGAGTAATCTTTTTGTTTAACTTATCATTTATGTTTTTATTGCAAATTGAGAAAATCATTTCTTTGCTTTATTTTTTCTTATTAATGTCTTCTCATCCTTCTTCTGCTTAATTCTTCTTTTTAACCTTTTGTTTATTTTCTGTCTTAATTTTAAACATTTTCTTTTTCCTTTTTTCTTTATTTTATGAATGAGAGAAAAGACTATTTCATTCCCACTATATTATTGTGTTTAATTTTCTTTTAGTCTTACCCACACTTTAATACTTCCTTATATTACACCATGTAATATTCTACCATAATACCTCAATACATTTTTTGTAGCATTCCCTAATACATTTCTAATTCAAATACACCGTCATAACCAGAAAATAACTGGAAGTGTCGATGCTTGAATTTGTACTAGGGTTTGTGTGGTGTTTTAGACATGCTGTATTCTATCTCAAATAAAGGTGATAACAAAATTATTCATTTTTAATATTCTGTGAAATGATTAATCTCCAATAAACAAAAGAATAAATGATACATTTATTAACACTTATTCAAATGTTATTTTCTTTTATATTAATCTTCAATTTTTAAAACCATTATTTTAGTTTCTTGTTGTTTATTGTTCAATGTTATTTTGATTCAAATGTATTATTTCATAAACACAACATAAAACATTAAATCAAATTATTTATTTATTTTTTAAATCATCCTCATATAATGACATTATATTTATTATGAAAATTTTCATTTAATGCATGAATGATATTAATTATCATTTATTATGAGTTGGAAAGATTGTGTATTGAAGAATGTAGTTTGTTTTAAATGGTTGTTATTTTTTGTTATGATAAAATATTATTTATTTATGATGACTATAACTTGAATTGAATATATTGGTATTATCAACAACGAAATTGACTCAATTGATGATTGTTGATATTAAAGGAGATGAAACATTATCATAGTGTTATTGATATTTTTCAACATAAAATAACATTATAAAGAATGAGGAATGTTATTCATTAAATTCAAATAATCAAATAACAACTTAAATAATGAATCATTTAAGTCAATCTTGTTTGAAAAAAAAACATAAAGTCGATAGAAAAAAAAACATGAAGAATAAAATAAAATACTCACTTCTTAATATGATGAAAAATTAAGTATTAGGTTAATTATAAATGGTTTAATGTGTCAGAGTCTCAAAACTATCAATAAAACAAAATTTAAATTACTTATTATCTTCTTATCATGAATTTATCTTCATCAAAAACAGATAATATCTTATTCAAAATTACAAAGATGTTTGATTATAATTTGGTAAGAATGAGTTAGAATAACTACTAGAAATTGTTTGGTTTGAAGAGTTGTTATTGTAGGAAGGAGTGTTATTTGTCATTTGATGTTAAGTGGATAAGATAGTGTTTTTAATATATTTTGAGAATTGAATATATAAGACATTATATATTTCAATTTTATTAATATAAATGAATTTAAAATTATACTTTAATTTTAATAAATATTCATATTAATTTATTGTATATTAAATTAATATGAATATTTTTAAATGTTTTATTGCTTGATTTTATAATTCATTTTTATTTGTAATGCATTTATTACATATTTATGTATTTTTATTTAATTATATTATATTCATTATTTCATTCATTTTATTCTTCTTTCTTTTATTTCTATCATTTCTTTTATTATTTTATTTTGATGATGATTGTATATTCATTGTATTTTATTATGATATTATTTCTATTTGATAATATTGTTTATTTCTATTTGAATTTATTGTTAAAATATTTATGATGATAAAAATGAATAGAACGATGAATAAAATAAATCATAATATTTATGATATAATAATTATTATATTGTTTAAATTGCTCATTATTATAATTCTGACAATACAGATAATACATATTTTCATTCATTCGTCTATCATTTATATTTCTTATTCATATGAAATTCGCATTCTTTTGTTATTATGTTTATTGTTATTATGGTATTTCATATAACGAACATCAATTCTTAAAAAATAAATAAACAAAGAATTAAAAGAATTAAATGATTTGAACTTCATAAATCAATATTTTTGAATGAAATGAAAAAAGAAAAAGAAATAAGAGATATTCGAAAGAAGGATTTTTTAGAAAAATGAAGAACGAAGAACTGATCTTATTTACATATGATAAATAACCAAAATGAAATGATTTATTTTGAAGAAAATGATATTACGTCAGTAAGTTTAAATAAAAGAAAAGGTTGTTCACTTCAAATAGGATATACTACATATTCTGATAAAATAACTACACATGTTCATATATTAAGTCATTTATCAATGGCTAATTCTTTAGTTCCAATAGAAAATAATACAAATATAAAATTTATTACCTGCAAGTGATATTCAGTTTTTACCATTTTGGTTTAAAAAAGATTCAGTAGTTTGTGCAGGAGAAACGTTAGAAATATGTTATTTAAATGAAAAAGCAGGAGATTTAATACCAACCCTTGTAGATGGGTTTTCATTGTATATTAATTCAGGTTATCCAACAATTGGTGTAGAACCATTTAAAGGACAAACACCACAACTTCTTTCATGGAGATTAAATGGAGAATTATCATTATTGAATTTGGGATAAAAGAATCAAATAATGACAACAAATTAATTTGAAGTGATAAATGATGTTTCAACATCATATGAAGATGAAACATCATTTGTAGTGAGTTGTAATACAGGAACATATTTATATAATACACGATGTAATAGTGCTAAAAAATAAGTAATAGAATAGGATGTTCAGTATCATATTCTTTTACAGACCTATCAAAAATTGCAATAGGAATAGAGACATTATTTCATGTTATTGACTGTAGAATGGAAAGTCAAAAAATAATGGAATTTATAACAAAATCAGATATTAATGAATTGTGTTTGTTTCTTCCTCAAATTGAAATTGCCACTAATTCTGGTGTTGTATTATGGAATCCTATTAAATCAAATAGTTATTCTGAATAGGGTACGAAAATTAGCAAAGAAAAAATGCATCTAAATAATTTACAAAAATGAAAAAGATGCAAAAAAATTTGCATCCATAGAATATTCCACTTTATTATATTTTGCTCCTAAAATAAAAATAAATAAAAAATATGATAAATACAGAATATATAAATATTTATGTTTATATTTTATTATCATTTGTATTCATTTTGTATGAAATATTAATGAAATAGATGATTTGATGAATCAT